ATAATATAATATATATATATATATATATATATATATATATATATATATATATATATATATATTTATATATATATATATATATATATATACATATAATTATATATATATATATATATATATATATATATATATATATATATATATATATATATATATATATATACATATATATATATATATATATATATATATATACATATAAATTATATATATATATGTATATATATATATATATATATATATACATATAAATTATATATATATATATATATATATATATATATATATATACATATAAATTATATATATATATATATATATATATATATATATATATATATATACATATAATTATATATATATATATATATATATATATATATATATATATATATATATATATATATATATATATATATATATATATATATATATATAATATATAAACATATGATATATATATAATATATATATCATATATGCATATATATAAGAAAATTAGAAGATCAGTAAATAGAATGAAAACGATATAATAATAAGCAGGAAACGAAAGGAGACGGACAGGCGGATTCTATATCTGACATTCCAACATAGCAGCTTCCTTGCTATAACTGTTGGCTCCTTGCCTGACATCAAGCTATGGCAGCGCAAATTTGTCTTCCTTTGTCCAGTGGCATCAGATGAACTAGGGTCACGCATGCCGCCTTTGAACTCATAATGATAAACAAAATAAGATTATATTATACTAACTTCTCATAGAGTAGTTGTAATCTCATTACAACTACAATAATGTCCGTCGGTGAATGTATTCGCTTCATGAAATAACTTTTGCCTTTTTTTTTTGTCTATCTGTTTACAAAAGTAGCGCAAGAGAGGAAGAACAGCACATATGTTATTGTCAGTCCGAAGCAACAGTAGGGTCGGTGCCAAGGCGGGCAAGAGAGACGGTCTCGTGGACTCGCTGTCTCAGTCCTCCACCTGGTCTTGTGAAGTGTGTGTGTGTGTGTGTTCCGCGGTGCTTCTCGAGTCTTGTTGGAGCCGATGAACAAAATCTCGATTCGACTGGTATATTTGTTCTTACTATGATAGGATGAGCTTTGTTTGGAATCTCTGAGGCGATCCTTCTCCAGCTGTACTTGAGGTAAGAAAATTCCGCTTGTCTGTTCGCTATTCTTGCTACGGGATGTCGAATGAATGGGGCATGGATTAGGTCTGAAATCTTACCTGCCAGCCTGGAATTTTTTATTCTCATTTCTAGACCTATAGCTTTTCGTTTTCTCTTTCTTTTCTTTCTTTTACTTAACAACTGTTTTTATTTGGATAGTTATCAGCGAATTTGATTGTTATTATCAACCGATCCATCTTTTTGCATATATGTATATATATTTTTGATGAGGTTCCTGACGAAAATATTTGTCCTGTTGATTTTAGCTTCCGCCCCGCTAAAGAGCTTCTTTCCTTTATCTACCCTTCCACCCTCCTTGTAACCCTAAAGAACTCTTAACGAGCACAGGTTAAGCCTTCCTAAGACTTTCCCTGTAACTCGACGACATGACGAATGCGTGACAGAACTCGAAGCCAAAAATAGCCGCCTGACCAACCGCCCCCTTGAGCCAGCTTCATGAGGGGTTGCGCCGGAAATACTGTTTCGGAGCGAAATATCATGGTGCGAAAAGTCCTTTTTTTTTTTTTGCATTCCTTGTAAATCTCGCGCGATTTTATCCTGTGTGAATCAGAAGTATCTGACGCGACGCTGAAAGGAAGCAGCTGCAACGAAAATAGATCGCTGTTCTCGTTAATTATTTGTTTACAAGATATGGCGAGGCAGGCGCACCTGTTTATCAAATGTAGTCGGTCTCTTTACGTCACTGTCGTTTTCTTTATAATTCCATAATATTAATGTCAATTTACTTTGCGAAAAATTAAATTTATTTATTTGTATTTATGTTGTCAACTGAAACCCTTTAGCATTCATTCGTCTCATGTAAATGCATTATAAATGGTTGTATAGACTGAGGCATGCCTGTCTGCGGAGTACTTGAGGGGAATATTTTTAGTTCGACCGCTGGGAGGGGGAGTGTCGAGGGGAAAGTAGCGAGTTTTATCCATCGAGCTCTGCCCTCGGCCGTCATTCCACGTCTGTCATCCCTCCATCCATGCTCATCCCTTTAAATGTCAGTCTTCTGCTCTCGTTCTCATTACCGAGGCTCAGTCATCCTTCGCGCTCTCCACAGCCACTCCCCCTCACTCCGCTCCGTCAGCTTGGCTGGTCTGTCACTCCTTTTTAGTCACTCCCTTGCTGTCGCCACTCCTCTCTCTCCCCTCCCCCCATCCCTCCCTCGCCCCTTACCGCCCTACCTGTGGCTGCCATTCTTACTCGCATCGCCATGAGGCTGAGAGAGAGATCCTTGCATCTAATCCTCCTTTCCTTCTGCAGAAATGAATGCGGAGAGCGAGTGGTGGTGGGCGTGGTCAGGAGCTGCGGGCGGCGCGTGGGCGGCAGTGGTGTGCGTGGTGGTGGTGATGGGCGGCGCCGTCAACGTCGCTGTGGTCATCCACTGGGCGACGTCCCGCCCCGCGCAGGACTCGCCCTCAGCAGCTCTTCCGTGCGTGGACCTCCTCCTCTGCGTCCTGGCTGCCCCGCTTCGCTACGCACACGCTCCGCCCATCCCCACGCCCGCGGGCTCTCGCCTGGTGGCTGAGGCTACCATGGCGCCACAGAACACCTCCGGAGGCGCACTGCAGCTCAACGCCGCGGGCGGGGCGGCCAACGCGAGTGCGCCGGGCACGGACTGGGAGGCGCCGCCCGACCCCCCCGGGCCCGGCACCAGCCTGGCGCACGCCGTGGTGGTGGGCGTGTGCCTCACGTCCCTGCACGTCGTGGTCATCGTGGCGCTGCACCGCCTCACGCTGCTGCTGAGGTGCTCTGCCCGCGGCCGCAAGCCCTTCCGCTTTGCGTCGCCGCTGCCGGTGCTGGCGGTGGCTCTCGCTGCGGCGGCGGCGCTGGTGGGTGGCCTTCACGCCACGGGGCGCTTCACGGACATGTTCCCTCTGCTGGGCGTCTCGAGGCCCCGCCCTCCTGGCGCCCCGCCGCCGCCCCTGGTAGTGGGCTTCCTGTCCTATGTGGCAGGTCTGTGCGGCGCCACCACGCTCTGCTACCTGACCATCATCAGCGCCCTCATCCATCAGGGGCGCAGCCAGGCCGTCGCCGCAGCGCCGCTCCCAGAATTTTCGGGCACGCCCTCCTATAGCAGCGTCAGCAGCCCAGGCCCTTCAACAGACTCCGGGGTCGCTGGGCCTGGTCACGGCGGGCACGGGCTGGCGCTCAGGGCCTGCATTACGGTATTGTCAGTGCTGGTCACGCTGTCTGTGTGTTGGGCAGTCCCCGTCTGTCTGGCACTCTACGCCCTGCTCAGCGAGGCGCCCATGACACCATCGCTGCCCTACAGCGATGCCCTCCTGCTGCTCTCGGGCTTGGTTCACCCCTTCGTGTACGGCGAGGGCTGGGCGGCCGTGGCAGCGTGCGTGACCGGGCTGCGGCACGGCGTGGTCGCCACCAGTCACCGCGTGGGCCTCGCCTCGCGCTCTCGATCACGAATGCACATGGCTGACCCGCCAAGTGACAGCGGTGGCGGCGGTAGAACCTGGCAGAGCTCAGTAGAGTGCTGCTGGCCGTGCCGGAGCCATGGGACACAGGCCGCTACTGAAGAAGCCACGTTCAACATCATTCCTCTCAGCCAGACGTCACGCCATCAGACAGACACATAATGTGTCAATTATTTGTGGTCTTGTATTATAAAGTGAATGGTAGCCAAAGATATTGAGCGTGTAAATGCCGTATTTTTCAGAAGGGTGTACGGTTGTTTGCATATTTTTAGCTTACGGGTGTTAATCTTCTGCTACACACCAGTGTGTATTTGCGTGGGTCAAGAGACTTCAAAACAGTTGCGTCGGCATCAGGGACCACTGACGGTCACAATTTCGAAGACTCGCATGTGCACTTCACTGAAGCCTGCCCATACGGGCGGGCATGGTCAGCAGGTCCCGAGAAGGTGACGTCACAGACGAAAAAACAAGTGTGGAAACTAGTTTACCAAGTGAGCACCTGTGACGTCATCTTTACGGTGTCTGTCAATTATGCACGTACGTGGGCAGATCTGAACGCAACGTATTAAGTTATTGTTTGACTTCTGAATGCTAGCTTCAAAGTATCTCTTCTGCCAGTCTTTTGGAATTTTAACCAATTGACATGTTTTACCTTTTCATCTATTCATTATTGATCATCTGAGTATCCATTTCATAACCTCTTATTTAATAAATATTCAACATTTTTTGTTTTGTTTGTATTTCCTTTAACAACTCGGGCAAAGGAGCACAGGTTTGTTCAAGTACTTGAAGGATTCACTTCACAAACTTTTACAGCAACCCGTGTAACGAATGGTTAACCCATTGCCGCAGGGGAAAATGAACAAAAAATGGGGAAAATGCTGTACTCATTTTTTATAATTGTGATATATCTGTCCATAGATGGCTCTGCTAGTCCTGATTTCACCTGTCCTTGAATTGGCGGGAAAAAACGTATTCTTACTAGTGCTATAAATATTGGTGTTATTTTTAACAGCAAATTAGGATAACGTTAAATATTTTCGTAAATCGATGAAAAGGGTGAACGGGCGAGACAGACGGTACTTGTAATTGGCTCATTGGTGACTTAATACAAGTGTAGCCATCTATGTGTAAAAACAATCAAACAAGTCGACTCACAGTCATATGTACGTACAGTACATGCCATCCCCGGCGGCAATGGGTTAATGGTTAATCAAATATATGTGCGGCTAACGAAAAACTGAATTAATCCAAATAAGAAAATAAACGACGGAGCCAAAAGTAACCACATGCCCGTGTTTATATGCAAAGAATTTTTTTTTTTGGTACTTGTCAACCATACATATATTATTCAAAAGGTTAACATCGTGAAGGATTTGGAAGAAAATCAGCAATACAGTTTGGCCATTTTATTTAACCTTCCCTCTCCTTGATATCCTTGTTCCTCCTGATGAAGGAGCGCACGTTTGCAGCAGCGACTGTGGTGTAAGTGTAGGCTCCTCCAGCGACAGTGCGGCGGCAGGGCTTGCAAGACCAAATGCCGACAGCCTGGCGTCTCATGGCCTCCTGCAAAAGGAAATAAACAAGTATTAATTATACCATTCAATGAAAAGGATAAACATCTACTGACAGCTGCTCTTAAAATATAAATAACGGGATGCTATGAAAGAAAAAAAATGGACATTAGTGTATTTCTGAATATTTGCGAGTGGAACAATGAGGGGAACTACAAAAAACGAATTTGTCGAAGGTCTTTTCGCATTTATTGCTTCATCAGGGGATATGCCCTGATGAAGCAATAAATGCGGAAAGGCCTTCGGCATATTCGTTTTTTTTTTTTTTTACCTGTACTGCCATTCCTTGTTCTACTTGCAATCTGTTCATGAATTCCACACATTTCTGAGTTTGAAGAATTTCCTATGTACTTTAAAAGTTTACCTCCAATTGATCAATATTTACAGTCCATAAAACCCATCAATTTTCAATCCAGAGGTTGTTACATATTGGTAACATGACTTAGATTAGTGTGATTCAAATAAGGTCTATAAATATAGAAAAAGCAATAAAATTATCATTATCACCTTCTGACTTGTTGGTTACAGTTTTACACTAGCTTGACTTTTTAAAATTATTTTTGGTAATAGTAAAGAAAAATGGTGTCTGAATACTGGGAATCAACAGAATGAATGAATCTTCAAGATTATTCTTTTATGACAGTTCCAGCACACTGTCTTAAAATAATTAACCTTTGGTTAGTTTGTTAAAATTGGGCAAAGCCCAACAAAATATTCACTATACGGACAAGCATATATATAGAAATAAATGCAAACCTATCAGTCTAGACATACATAGCTACTGGATATGTAGGGAGAGAAATGCACAACACTCAAGCAAAGGCCAATGCATTATTACAAATAATCTGGCAGGAGTATTCCTTACTTATGTCAATATAACATTAGCATAACCAGACCTTGACCATTTATGCTATACCATGTTTTTATCTTCTAATCTAACTGGATACCATAGTGAATGGAGTAAGACTGGACTCCATCTTGCAATATAGATCAACAGGACCCCACTGGCTAGGGAAATACTAAACAATATTAAAAGGTACTATGCTAGGGCAAATTGAGGATATTCTTGTAGGAGAAAAATATGTAGTTGTCAGTACAAGAATAATGGAAAAAGATAAACGATCTCTTGCCATGCATACCGAGGTGAAGAAAATGTTTGCTGGAGAGGATAAAGCATTTCATACGAGATGAGTCTGATGGATGGATTTAGGATGGAATTTACTTAAATTGAGGCCTCAGTCCC